AGAGAGAGAGAGAGAGAGAGAGAGAGAGATGACAAAAATATATTGCATTTTAGGAAATCAAAGGAAAACTCATTGCAAGTGAATTGTTGGCGCCCGTCATCCACACAATCAATAAGATTTTGTGCAAAACAGAGGGTTAGAGATATAGTGCACAGAATGAGAGAGTGAGAGACTCTCTGAAAGTCATCCCTGTCTTCATATCACATCTCATTCTCTCTACAACTTTACTCTCACTTCTCTTTCCAAACGCATCGCCAAAGCGTTTGTTTCGCTTATTTGACAAAAAACTGTTGAGTTGAGAGGTTTTCTACACAAAAATGAGATAACATTAACTTTCTATTACACCGTCTTTTAGTCCACTTTTTAATGTGATTTCTATTGTGTTTTTCTCCCAAAAGAATCGGAATTGAGTTTAGATGTAAATTAATGAATGATTGTGTTCTTGTAATCTCTATTGTATGGCAACACATGAGTGACAATACATAGTATTGTTGAAGAGATGGAGTCAATGAGTGCGGCACACAATTCACACGATTCCTATGGCTATCAGTTTGAGACAATACCCACACAGTATAGCCATAATCCAAACTATCCATATCTGGACGTCTATCCAAACATTTACCATCCATACGATCCGATCACCGGTGAATATATTAAGCCATTACAGCCATTGCATCCATCGAAACGGTTCAAGAATCGGTCCCAAACAGTGGTCACGGCTTCGGGCGCCCACTATAACGACACCGATAGTGAGACGTTGCTGTGCTGTGACTGGTGTGCGCTAAACATACCGGTCAATTGTCTGACAGTGTCTCTCATCACAAACATTGTGCTAATAGTGTTGTTCACAATAATTAAGTACTACTTTATTGACCCGAAGGCCACCTCTAAGAACACCAGTGCTCTCATCGAAGAGATTATTCTCATACTATTGTTTTCCGGAGTCGTTATATTGATTGCTATATTCATCCGCTATGTATGTAATGAGAATCGGAGGCAAGAATTGCTTTCATTAATCCAATGCCAGAGTAATGATGCGGAAAATGAGGAGAATTTACGATTTCAGTCAAACAATTACAATCAAAGTCACAATTATTACTCTTCTAATCGTCTTAACGAACAATTTGTCTAAATATGCTTTTTATGACTGCATTAATGTTTTTATTATGGCTTAACTCGTTATAGTAATTGAATTTTATTTTTATATTTTGCGTTTATAATTAGAAATGTTTTATCGATTTATTAGTCTATTGATTAAATTGTAGTTTATTGTTAACATATCGTTATTTGTCATAAATTAAAATTGAAATAATTTTAAGCCAAATGAATAGAAGAGTGAAATATTGTCACTTCCTCTCTATGGGAATAATGAGCAATATTTTCACAATTCTCTAAGTGTTGCTATAATTCAATCCAACAGTATATTACTTGAGGCTTTTTTGTCGGTTTACAAAAATATAGTGTATATACTGTATATCGATTGAAAGGAAATTTAATACAATAAAAATTCTTATAAAATATATATTTGACGCCAAAAATGTAATTTATTTATGCGTTATTTTTTATTTGTTTTATAATTCAAGATTTAATCCATTGAATGTCACATTTTTTTTACACGAAATCATGGTTTACATATCCTTTGACGTGTTTTATACAATAATTAGTGTTATATTAATATTCCTTACGTTCGCTATACTCTACTTAATACACGAATTTAAATACAAATACATTGATATCAAATTTAATTGTGTGATAAGAGAGCCAAAAATGAATGCAATGAACACAGAATTAGTGACAGAAGTTGTGACGAGAGTAAAGGATTGGATGTCAGAAGTAAATGATCAACAAATTGGATGCTATGATGAAATTGTGCGAACAATAGGCCAGTGGTTCGTCAATTGCAACGATAAGGATGTGCTGACACTTATCAGCAAATGGTTTGTAATACATAGACTAATGGATAGGAAATCTTTGCAAATCAAATGGTCTGTTACTCACAAACATAATGACATTCCTCTCGTGAGCGCATATAAAACGCTTTTATTAGACATTAAATACAAGTTGTCGTTAAATCAATTAAAGCGTTTCAAACACGGAATCATAGCCTCCGCCGAAGTGACAGAAATGGTTAGAAGAATGGAATCGTTGCCGAAGAAGTTGACGCTAAGAGAGTATTTGGACCTCAAGTTTGATCACCTATTGATAGGTCCGTGGCTTTTGCTGGTAGAGTATAGCGTTGGTGCCGTTCTCTCGGATCAAGTGTTACACCAAGAGTTGTATAAGAGATTCGTGCAAAATTGGGCCGACTATTGCATTTTAAGCAGAGATTTAAGTTTATTTCGCAACCGAACCCTATTTGACACCAAATTCAATGCAATTGCAATCGTTAGTGAGAGTCACAAATGCAATGTCGATAAATGTGTTCACTATTTGAATGAAAAATTGCTTACAATAGAGAATGATATGAAGGAATGCATCGACAGAATCATATCGAGTGGTATTGATTTGCCCGACAGTTATCTCAATGCTATGAAAGATTTTATTTATGGATTTGTATATTATTGTCAAATCAATAATAGAAATGCTGTCCAAAAATAGTTTTTAATCCTTTTATCTCTTATACATGAAAAATAAATTTTACTGTTGTGTTAAAAATGATCATAAATTACAATTTATTATTTCATTTTGATATCCATTAGTCTATTGCTTCTTATTTTTAAATTCAATAAAAAGATTCATTTATTTAATATAAATGCTATAATATATGTAATAACTGTTTGCAAAATTAAACGAATCCCACATTTTAGCGCATCTTTATGTCATCCTTTAATCGTCAGCTATTTCTTCATAACATTCCTAAACAACATTCAATTTATATTCATTTGCCGTATATATTAAAATAATATGATTTATTGAAAGACAAAGTCAGTTAAAGTGAGTGAGTGGTGAGAGAGAGAGAGAGAGAGAGAGAGAGAGA